TGTTATGTATGGACAACCCATGTTATAGATATAGCCAAGGCCAATTCCCGGAGTGCATTTACATTAAGTATCTCACGCTGGATACCAGGAATTCAATAGACGCTGCAATTCTACCCAAGCTTACCCGATATTATAAATATGAGTTTTTCTTTGTTTCAGTTAGTTATAATTGTACCTTTGGCTTTAACATTGCTAATAAAATATAATTGTAACTCAACTTTGAGTTTTTCGGAAAAGTTTTATTTTTAAAAATCAATTTCGGAAGCTCCCGAACTTAATTCAAGTGTTTTGGATGAAGCATACTTTTTTTAAATTGCTAAATGAACATTTAATGTTATAAAAAATGTCTTCCTTTCGGGGAGTTTGGAAATTTTAATAGAAAATGTTCTTCTCTTCAATGATATCTTTGTCTTTTTTCTTGAATAATTATAGTTTCAATGTTACTTAGAAAAAACGGAATAACTCATTTGATTATTATGTTTATAACAATCGTAATTTTTTATCCACTGTAAAATCCTTCGAATACATTTTTCTACACTATTCTAGAGCTTTTTCTGAACTGAATGATGCATTGCTCATTCTCTTGGAGGCTTCATTTTCATTTTACACTTATTGATTAGACTATATATGGAAGAAATGAAACACTTGTCTTAGTGCCTCTTCAGCACTGATAACATTACAAATGAAGCACTCAATTCATTCATAAAGTTACGACTTCAAGTCACGAATAGGTTGAATCTACTCATAACATCGATGACAGTGCGAAATGGCATTCATTCAATCATTTGATTCAATCTCAGTGATAGGAATCTTGTTTAAATTCAAAGGAGTATATTGCTTCCTTCTTTTCTTTAGAAGATTTCCACAAATTTCTGTATAAAGATGGAGAAGTAGAAAACCAAACCTTTGTTTCCAAAAAATTAATTTCTTCAAAAAATATAACCCTTTCAATTTGAAAAGGATGTATATTTCAAATGAGTGTAACTTTCCTCAATTTGTGATATATGTATTACTTCCATCACGATTCTTGCTTCAGTTAATTCCAAATTATAAATATAGGTTCGTAATTATTAAATAATTCATGATGTACTCCACATGTACTCCACATCAAATATGATTTATGGTGGGATTCTATCTCTTGAAAACTTCAATTTTTGAAGATAAAACAATAATAAAATAGTCAATTTATAAACTATTGTAATTATTATATCATTTGATGAATGCATAGCTCTCTAAACTTATACGAATCCTAACAATTAACTTTGGCAACGACTCCATTGTTCAATGGTTTTCACATAATAGCACAGCAAGAGGAAGAACAGCACTTGATATTTTTATAAAAAGTTGTTGGTGGCACCAAATGTAGGTCTTCTTCTTCGTCGTCTCCTGATATGCTCATTTCTTCTATACTAAATGTGTCAGTCAACTCATGATGTATCCTCGATTCCTTTCTTGCAAGTGGAAAAAAATTAACTATATCTTCTTCGCTGTAAAAAAATTAAAAACATTTAGTAATTATTGTAACAATATGCATATCTATAAAGAGTGTTAAAGTATGACACTCCGTCCAGAGGGTCTCAGCAACGTAAGCCAAAGTATTTATTCCCGAAATGTGTATTTCTCGAATGACAGTCTCCATAGTCTTCAGTAGCATAAATGTTAAAAATCATCAACTTATCATGAAATGATGAGATGGTAAATGAAATGATGAGATGGTAGATGAAATGAGAAATGAATGTTTCATTAATGTTCGTGAATGATTTTCAACACATAGCTATATTAAAAGTAATGAATGTGTTTGAATATTAGAAAATGCAATAGAACATCTGGCATAGGCAACACACAGAAAAATGTCGATTCTTTATGAAAGATAGATTGAAATCATAGCCTGAACATCTCACTTTCCCTTCCAGATACCAAAACATGTGTATGAATATTAGAAAATGCAATAGAACATCTGGCATAGGCAACACACAGAAAAATGTCGATTCTTTATGAAAGATAGATTGAAATCATAGCCTGAACATCTCACTTTCCCTTCCAGATACCAAAACATCTGTTTCCTACACATATTATCAGCTAATCATTCAGCAGGCCATTCAAGACAATAACCTGTCCTATGTATCCCTGAATCGAGCTCGTAGAGTGATCCTGAAACGAAATAACCCTTTTGAAATAAATATGACGTCAAACAATTAGAATTAGGGTATTTCCGAACTCATCTAGAAAATTTTTAATATTGCTGAACTGTTGTCCAATTTCTGAGACGGTTTTGGAGACAACCAGCAAACTTGCCTCAAGGGCAATTTTTTTCAAGCTGGATCTCATCGGAATTTATCAATTAACTAGAACCATCAGGATGCAAACAGTTTGAAACAATATATCAGTAGATATTTAAATCTGGCATAGCAGAAATCAAGTTCCGGTCCATAATCAAGGGAGAAACATGAAGACACGTTCTGGAAGGCACAGTATTCGAGAGCAAAAATAATCGTTTTTCTACATCTGCTATGAAAATAGTAATGAACACACGGTAAACGAGGATGAAAATGACTGATTTCATACATCTGTATGAAAGTCGCATCTCGCACGGTTCAGACTGTATAAAAAATATGACCTTCTTGATATTTCATTCATACACCGCTATCTTCGATGCAAAAATGTCAACAAATATTCAGTAAACCTGGATCGAGTCAGCGATGGTTTTTGGTTGACAGTCTTTCAGTCTGTTAAAAGTGTTTTCTAGTATTTTTGTACTGTCAAAAGTTATTATTATTATGGAGAAAATGGAAACTGATAGGTAGCATACGAATAATTTCAGCAGTGATTAGATTCAGATAGTATTACTTATTCTCTGAAAACATTGTGTTGGTTCAATTTGAGGAATTATCCAAGAAATATAGGTCATTCACACTCTGGAGACAATGTTTGATACTTGAATCCACTCGGAACATTGAACACAATATCAACATTGCCGACTATTTGAAACTGCGAAAAAATAAAAAAGCGAGAAAAAGTTTTCTGAGTTTCTAAATAGTCTGGCGAGAAATTCCAGAAAGTAATTCCAGTGCAAGAAGAAATCCAATTGATTGTAGTAACAACGCTTTGACGACTGTATAATTTTCTTTATTCGTATAAAGAAACTAATTTCTGAAATGAAATCCCGAAAGATTCATTTCTCTCTTCCAATACACGAGAATAACTATTTTCCCAGCTAATACCACGTTGGATATTGAATAATATCCGACAGACGTGTAAGCGAGGTATCTCACAGAGGTCACTCCTGCAGATGTTTCTCGTTCATTCAGTAGCAGGATCACGCTGCAATCAGTCGAGTAGTTCCCTAACATACCGTTTTTGAGATATTACCTCCCTTCTCGATTGATTTCAACGCTGTTCGACTGCGTATATAAAACATCAGTTGAAGAGAAAGATTGTCAACAAGTAACAGCTCCATCTCGTGAACATAGCTCCAAGCGGGGAAGAAACATACTATATACCATTACGTTAACACGAATCAAAATGAATCTGAAGACTGTATCGAGGAGAGATATATACTTAAAAAAATAATATTGCGAAATGGAATCCGGAAACATTCACCTCTTCCAACGTACCTACACAGTAGGTTCTGCTATGTGCCTGCCGGAAAATAACTACTTTACCGGCTGATGTCACGCTGGTTATTGGAATATGTTCGACAAACATGTATGCTAGATTCCTCAGAGAGTTTAGTTTTGCAGGTTAGTCTTGCAAAATGTTTCTTGTTCATCCAGCAGCAGAACCACGCTGAAATCAATCGAGTAGACTACCTGTAGGCCACTTTCGAGGTATTACCTCTCATCAGTGCAGAAAAGATCCAGATCGAACAGCAATGTGCCTGGTCTCGATTGATTTCAACGTGGCTCGTTTGCATGTATAAAACCTTCTTCTGAAAGAAAGGGTGCTAGTAGCAGCTTCATCTCGCGAACAAAGCGAGAAGCCGGAAGAAACATTCTATGTGCCAATTCTCTGAAGAAATCAAATCAAGTCTGAAGACTGTATCGAGAAAAGATATAAATAATATTTCGAAATGAAATCCCGAAACGTATCCACAGAGTAGGTTCTGATAAATTCCAGACTTGGGGCTTTGTTCACGAAATGGAGCTGCTACTAGTTAACAATTTTTCTCTCAGACGTAGGTTTCATACATGCTGCCAAGCCGCGGTGAAGTCAATTGCGTTCCAGGCACGCTTCTGTTTGGGCCGGATCTTTCCTGCACTGATGAGAGGTCACCGGTCTGTATGTGATCTCCTCGATCTCCTCGAGAAACATCTGCAAGACTATCCTCTGTGAAGTATCTTTCATAAATGTCTGTCGGATATAATTCAGTGTCCAGCCGGGGAAATTTGTTTTCCAGCAGGTAACGTTGAGAGAAATTAATGTTTCGGGATTTCATTTCTAAATATTTTTTTTCGTATACGTATTTATTTCTCCTCGATACAGTATTCTGATTTATTTTGTTTTCTATATGCATCAACTATTCCTTCATTAATGTATTTAAAAAAATCTCCTTGATTGATAATTAATTTTTCATAAATTTCAATTAGGGATGGTGAAAAAAGTGAAAGAAATATTAAAATTTCGATTGAATATAGTGGAAAGAATTTAGTTTAATCTTAAGCGAAAGTGCAAAATAGTACATTCGTATAAAAATTATAGTGTATAACTCGTCTGCAAAGTATTTTCTGTACACATACTGAGGGGAAAAAGTAAGAGAATGTTTATTTTGCTGATGAGATAGACGATGCATCAGTTTCAGCTGAATCCGTGAACAATTTGAAGAATTTGGAGAATGAATCACTATATCAGATTGCAGTTTATGATGGGTGCTGCTTGAAAACTAAACCGCAGCCTGCTGCATCTAAATTGTCCATTTATTTTAAATTTCTGTCAAACTACTACAGCTTCATGGGTTGCATATGTTCAACCACAATTGTGTATATCCAGTATATATCCTGACCAGCTTTACGCCCCTTTTCTTTTCGTAGATGGTATTCTGTATAAATGTTGTTTCAAGGTGAGTCTAGGATCTAGTGTCACGCTCAGAAATTTAAACTTTCCCAACAATTGTTTTATTACACCTCGGAGTTTCAGAGGTCCCAATATCTCTATCTAGGTTTTCTTAGTGAATGCTACTGGGAAAGATTGAGATGAGTTCATATTTTGTCCTTGTTCCTCGGTTATACTATTCAGGGCCTGTATGCGTCTACTCATTAGTTCCCCTGGACTAGGATGACTAAGTATGTACGTTTCAGATGACAATTATATTTTTCATCATTGGTTCATCCCTGAACGTCTCAAGATATCTTAAATCAATTTAGCATATCTTCATATCGAGGTTATAAGTCAAAATTGAGTCTCCAGTCGAGTTTGTTATTTGAGAAAATCAAATTACAACTCATTTTGAAAGATCACATATTGTTCTTTCAGCATGAAAGAAAATCAGGCTCAACGGCTCATGTTCTACAGGTTCATGATCGAAAATATGCACTTTCAACATAGTTCAAGATTTTCAAAATAATAAGGGTAGCCTCGTGTTTTTTCCAATTTATAACAACGATAGAGTCTACTAAACTGTCTTAAGATCGAAATAATCGTGGTTTGAGGTAGATTATGGTACAAATTGCTCAATTTTTCTTTTAGAAAGGCTTCAAAGCCAAGACACTAGAGCAAGCACAGAACTAGAGAATTTTTCCATTCATACCGAGTCTCACTGAACTTTTTTCCACTTTCACTTATATGAATAATTAATTCGCTAGAACCAAGTCCCTTGATAGACAGCTCATTTTCAAATTTGCATAAATAGTTGCGACGAATACCAAATACAATATATTCGTAAACGATTGGCTATTGAAATATTCTGGTATATTCTGATCGAAACTTATCAAAACGTAACCATTAGGTATACTTATAACTATTTCAACATTACCCTTTTCATTTTTTGAATCTATTTCATTATAAAATAATGTCCCATCAATCACTTGACACTCACCTGTCGTCAGTGTCCCATTGAACAAGTGGTTGTTGATCTTTGGCACCAGGTATAGGAAGCCTCTGTATAGGAATCAGTCCAGGTGTTGAATTGTAATCCTGATGTAGTCTTTTGGCGTGCTCTATCCGAGCTTCAAGTTTTCTCTGCAGAAGTCGTGATGTAGACGTGGAAGACAATCGTGGTAGCGATCTGCTACTACCAGCACTAGATGTGTCACTTCCCTATGAAAAGATTGAATAAATTAATATTTTCGAAAAATAATTTCAAAAAATCTATTTCCCGTCTTCTCCGTTTGTGCCCTGATTGAAAAAGGTACATAATATATCAAATAACCAAAAATTCAATTTTTACCAGGAACCTGAAAAATATTTCAGTGATATTCAATTAATTTTAAGTCATTTTCTTGTAGAGAAAATCAGAGTTTTTCATGGATTTTTCTGGGATATGCTCAAGCTCTGTCGAGAAAGTTTGAGAGGAAATCAAAACATAGAAGAACTGCAAGTTATAGTTGATTTTTGCATTTTTGAAAACAGAGGCATATTTTGGTCTTCGATAAGTATGTGCAATATTTAGCTCCACTTTTTTTTCAATTACGATATAAGTTCATTTGGTTTACGCTGTAACTTATTGGTGTGAGTGAAAATTTCATCTTTTCTACATTTTCTACATTTGCAAAGTTCTCCAATAAAATTCCAATTTTTGCAGATTGTGGAGAATGAGAATGCCCTACTGTGGAGAATGAGAATTCTACTACTACAATAATGTTATTGTGTTTATTATTACAAATATATTATGGTATTATTTTATGCAGGAATCCTTGATATAATACAATAAACAAAGTCGCAAAATCGAGTAAATCACATCATTAACTCGAGAACGTTTAGACCGATTTTCATGATTTTTGATTTTCTGGATTTCTCTCCGCTCGGAATAGCAAAATAACTATTGAATCATTATGACATTAGTAAATAGTTGTTTTAATAAAAACAGAATCAGCAATATCCATAACACTGTCCCGAACGAGAAAATCTAAACTTCTACAAGTCATAATGCAATCAGACTGTGAAATATTTCAAATCAATCCATAGCAGATAAAAAATATCGCACAATAGCAGTGCCGTGTTCTACTGTTCTTGCAATATACCTCAAGTTTCAGCTCTCGAGCTACTGTTCTACTATTTGAGAGCTAAATCCACTATTGTTCAATTATACTACTAGTTTATTTCCTATCATAGAAAAATAGTAAACGACTATGAATAATAGAAATAACTATATGTAGTCTGCATCTATGAAATATATTTTCTGCTGTTTGTCTCTAAATCTACTATTTTCCTGAAACAAGATCTACTACTTTGAAGCTTGAAAATGACCTGGAAATACTGGCCTGAATTTAGGCAATTGCCTTATTTTTTTATTAATTTTCTCTCATACATTTATCAGATGAGTATTTTCACTTAAAATATACAATATCATAAAATCATTTTCAAAATTCATTATTAATTACGTCAGTAATCACTTTGGAAAATCAAACAAACATCTAGAAAAATATGCCAATTGACACTTTTAAATCTTCCAATATATCAATTGACTTTCAGAAACTATCAATTGATAGATTTTAAATATATCTTTTCGATAAGGCGGTCAATGAATAATTTTGATAATTCCTCTGAAAATAATATTTTCTCTACACACATGTTTCATAATCATTGTTCGTGTAGAGATCAGAAATGTTTATTCATTTTGGTTGATATAAGGGGGCTCTGCTAGCCCTAACTAGATGAAACGTAGGCCACTGACTTGTTGTTTAAGATTTTTATTTCTTAGAATAATCAACTGAAAATACAACTTTTTCGTCGCTTGTATTTTCTTCATATCTAGCTTCGTTTTCGAGAATAAAATTTAAGCCACTTTGCATATCATGAATATCATGAACACCTGCTTTGGAGACTAGCTGACAGTGGTAGTGTTGTCATATCAGTGAAAGTCAAAGTTGTCAATTAGCAGTGATTCCATCATAAATAATTTTACTAACATGCACCTTATTTATGGATTAGCAAATATAAATGCTGAAGAAGCATGCTGGGAGAATTTACCTGTAAAGATATCTTAACAGAGTAATTCCATATGCTAAAATTTTCAGAACTCTATATGCAAGAATATGTGAAACTGGGTGTTTTGAGAATAATATTTAGCAGGTGGTCGATTCATACGACGGCAGACAATAACAATTTTTACCAGATATTTCATTTACGGATGAAACAAGTTTTTCACGAGATACTATTATGAAACTCCACAGTGATCATTTTTAGGTCGACGAAAAAATATGTGCCGATATTTGTGAGAGTTAACATGTGGTTTATGCATGACTTGGCTCCAGTTAATTCTAGTGTTCCTGCTCGTCAGCATGTCGACATCACCTACCCTAATTGCTGGATTGGACGTGCAGGACCTTAAAATTGGCCAGCTCGCAGTCCTTATATGAATCTTTATGAGTCAGGATCATCTGAAAGCTCTTGTTCATAAAACTTCTGTACTTGATGTGAATAACTTGAGGAACTGATAAATTTAACTGCAATGTTATAAGGAATACTCCAAGTAATTTTGAACGTGTTAGACTATCAATGACAAATCGATTGCAGTCGTGTATTTTATCAGAAGGTGAACATTTTGCTTATTTCCTCTAAAGTCGAATTATTAACATTTGGTTTTTGTTACATGGATAGTTTTTAGAAGTGATTTTTTTCTTGAAAACAAAGCTTGATATGAAAAAAACACAGGCGAAAAAAAGTTGTATTTTCAGTTGCCTAATTTGAAAAAATAGGGAACTACAAAAAAATCATTTGCGTTTTTTTTTTCAATATTGTTGGCTGTGGCACCCACTGAGACGCCACTGGTCCTGATAATTTGAATCTAATTCGGACTAAATAACCGCCTCATTACTTCAAATAACTAAATAACTGTAACAAATTTCATAAATCAAAAATTAAACAATTTGTGGACACAACACTCAATAATATACAGGGAGCTCGAGCAATAAGGTAATATTATAGAAAATTAGATTCCTATCTGCTTCCTATATAGAGATATGGAACACCGCGCCACTGTTGCAGGACCCTGTATATATAATGTGCGATCAAGTTGGACAAGTAAAAACCTTTTATAATTCCGCTGTATCCCGACTAAATGTAACATGTACCACAAATATCGGAGATAACATAAAAGTTGCTACAGCGTCATCAAGAAGCCCATTATTGAGAATCCGTAACCTAGTTTGGCGAACTAATTTGATTTTGGTGGAAGTATGAGTTATTCCATTGACATTTAAAAGCTTTCTGAAAGGTTACTGTGTTAGTGAATGTCAGAGTATAGGTCTAGATAGGAACAATACACAAAAATGACGTTTGTCCTTATTGGAATGCAAGAGTCATTTTTAAATCCATTGGATCTACTAAAATAATTTCTCATCTCAGGAGATTTCAGTTGAGTCTCTTTTTTTTAATATATGCTTCATACGTCATCGTCTCAATCAAACTATTAATATTTCTAATAATAGATTTCGAAAATAGCTAATATAATTATAAATTGAATGCACTCAAAGCAAACCCATCAAGCATATTCTGATCGTTAGTAAAAAGATAATTATGCATTAAACAAAAATATGCACAGATTATGATGCCTATGGAAGAAGAAAAAACATTTATTTGTATGTTTATTATGTATATCAACTTGGACGGAATCATCAGGCTCTCATAACTTTTACTCATGTTCTTGAAATTGATGTCTATTGAGATGAACATGACATGCATACACACACCGGCTTCTTGCAGTTTAACGTAGATGGTAAATTTCTGGTAGATGGTTAAATCTGTATTGAAATATATATTCAAACAAATTCTCGAATGTTTACTCTGCTGAATTTGGCGTGAAATGAATATTATTATTATCCCTCACCAGAACCAAAATTATGTCTTTTGACTCGTGTTTCAACTATCCATCTCCTTGTGTTGTTAACTTGGTTAACGATATGCGCGTCGAGAGACAACATCGTTCTTCAAAACCACAACTTTTATTAAACTGAACTTCATTTCAATCCTCTTGATGATATAGCCATATAATCAAACTATTTTTGAACGTTGAAATGTTAATCCTCAACTCGCACAAGTTTCGATGTCCGAGGATTATCATAAGGAAGCGAAAGTTGGTTGACAAAATGACACATTTCAACACATACATTCACTATTCTGGAATATATTCCACAAATATGCTCAATTTCGCTGATGAGTCCATATCGATCTGTTTCAAGAAAAATAAATTCTGATATGCTTGGCGTTTCGTATACTACTTCCGTGGACATCATCAGAAGCCATAAGGCAACAGACCAAGTGCTCTGGTTGTTCTCACAGCAGATACTATGTTCACGGGATGTGTCTCCGGTTTATTCCATTGGAACGTAGCTTCGTTTCTATGGGTTGGCTTATATGGCCTCATTCATGTGCTATTGAGAAGAGGTAACCGGGTTTCATCTATGTTAATTCCCCATTCCTTTGTAGTGGAATTTTATTTGGGTAGAAATTCTGAGTATTTGTGTTTCTTCAAACGAGATAATGTGAGATCTTCTTTGAGTGCATGCTCGACTACAGCATATTTGTCGGTTCGCCTGAGACGACAATTTCTCTCATGCTCAAGAAGCCGGGTACATACGTACGTTGATGATATTTTCGTGGTATGGCAGGACGGTGAAGAGAAACTGAACTAATTTCCATTATATCTCAACTCTGTCAATAAGACAGAACAAAAACTATAACCATCAGCTACGGCAGAAGACAGCAGTAATGAAAACGTTTGGTTGGAAGATTTATGAAGAAACACAATTCTGAGTGATAAAACTATCAGAAATAATATGAGAATCTCAGAGAACATTTAGCAACTCCGGCGATATACTGGATTTCTTGTAGCTGTGGGTCGGCTAGATTGGTATTCAATAAGAAGGACGAATATAAATACAGAAACAAGACATGAAATTAGGAATATGGGAGCAAGAACAAGTGCAAAGTCATTGCTACAACGTCATATCAGTCGATTTCACCTCAACTTGAAAATAAAAATTAAGAGATTCCAAGGTGAAATTGAGGATGGCTGAGCTGAAATTCGAGGTAGAGTAAATAGCAAACGAAGTCAAAATGAAAGTCAAGGTAAAACATTTATTCTCGAATATTTCAATGAGAAATCTAAGAATCCTCTAGGGACTAACACAAATGAACAATTTTCCAAGGCAGATACCTCACAAAGAAACCTCACCAATCAACGAAAACACTATCTACGTCAGTTCGAAGCAGCAGATAATACCAATAGTTTATCACGGATAACATCCAGTAAACTTCCAGGGAGACTACGTAATAATCATAGAAACCTTGAATCCTAGATATACAACTAATCAAAAAAATCGAAACCCCAACCCAATGAAACTATGCATGAATTTGAAGCTGAAGGAAGGCAGCTTGCCCAAGAGCACGGTAAGTTTACTAAACACAAAGTGGAGTACGGACTCCTATAGACAAATCAAGAAAAGATGCAACCAGTGCTGTCCATTGTTGTTGTTCATAGCTTCAGAGTTGACATCAGACAAAACTGCTTTTAAGAATACGCGTTTCATGGTGAGCCTTCTACACCACTGATGGGTTATTCTACAAAGATAGCCGCCTTCCACGGATCTGCTGTAGCAAATTCAAATCCAGAAATGAAAGAAGTGATGAAACTAGATAGTTCATAGGAATCTTCAGAAAAGTTTGGAAATAAAGACCTAATTTTCTCATCAGAAAAATAAAGATATCCTACCAGCATAAGTCAGAGCAGGTATCTGTTAGATAATAAATTTTGTAGAAAATTTTGTAGAAATTCATACTGAATATAGAATACACAAAATAACTTTTGTCTCATTAGTTACTTGAGAATAAATCGAAACCGGCCGTAACACATAATAAACTCAGTGGAAATTTGACAGAAGTTACTTCCTTTATTTTATATTCAGGATAGTTGAGAAATACTTAATTGATCCTTATATTGCAGTATCTAACACCAGAAAACAAAAAAATCCACAAAATCGTTTTAGATGATCGAGAAGTGAAGTTGCGTGAACTATCTGACATTGTAGATATCAAAATAACGTGTTGGCTTTATGTAGCATGAGAAAGCCCTGTTCAAAGTGGGTGCCGCGCGAATCAGGCGGATAGCTCTTTTCTGGATGAAATCTAGCAGCTTCAGGGTATGTTTGGGGGCGGAGATCCATACATGAGAACAATACTCCAAAGAAGGTATGACCTGAGCTTTATAAAGCATCAAAAGTTACTGAGGTGTGTACAGTTTTCTGGTTCGGAACAGTGTTCCAAGCTTTTGAGAAGCAGTCTTTGCAATTCCAGCGACAAGATTGTGCCGAGACATTAAGATTGACATTAAGATTGATGCTGAGCAGTGTTTGCGATGTTCAAAGATAACAAACCGAAATTTTTGCGTCGATATGTGATAGTGGATGAAACATGGATCCATCACTTCACTCCGGAATCAAAACGATCGTCATCTGAGTAAAGAGCAACTGGTAAACCTAGTCCGAAGCGCCCGATAGCACAACAATTGGCTGTAAATGTTATAGCTTCGGTAATTTGGGATGTGCGTGGTGTAATATTCATCGACTATCTTGAGAAGAGTAATGTCATCAACAGTGAATATTATAATATAGCGTTATTGGAGCGTTTGAATACCGAAATTGTAAAGAAACGACAGCATACGGCATATGTTTCATCAAAACAATGCACCGTGTCATAAGTCGAACAAAACAATGGCAAAACTCTATGAATTGAACTTTGAATTGCTCCCACATCCACCGTATTCGCCAGATTTGGCTCCCAGCGATTACTGGCTGTTCGTAGATGTTAGAAAATTGCTCAATGGTAATAAATTCCACTCTAATGAAGAGGTTATTGCTGAAACTGAGGCCTATTTTGAGGCAAAAGATAAATCGTCCTGCAAAAATGGTATTGAAATGTTAGAGCGGCACTAGAATGATTGTGTGGCTCTTGACGGAGATTAAGTTGATGAATAAAGTCAATTTTGAACAAAAAAACGCGTTTTCTTTCGTAGGTTCGCAACTTTTCAGCCCAGATGTTAACTATGGGTAAAATAATAAACAAAAACCTGATTGGTAGTGTTTTGGTCACAGTTATAGACATGAATAATGAAATACGTCATTTGTTTTTCATTCACTTCGAAATTGAAGATTATATTAATGATTGAGGAAAATATACATACATTTGGCTTACATATGGGATCCCCATTAAGATCGCCACTGTCTATTCCACTATCTTCCATCACAGCTTCAGAACGCGTAGGCACCAAATGAAATTGCAAAACAGTGAATTACATTCTTCGCAAATGAGCGATTGTATTACATTCCTCCCAACGTCAACAGAAACATTGATGGAAAATTCCGGGATATCTGTCAATTTCCATTCACATTTGTTTGAACATTTCTTTGAACACAGGACACAATAAAAATGCGACAACTGGAACAAGTAACTCCATCGATACTGAACTGTAAGATACGGAACCTGAAAATCAATATCATGCTTTCATTTGAACTACAAGTCCGCCGCTTCTGAACGTGGATAATACGAGGGCCGAACGTTATATTTCGCTATACTCCTATAACCGAAGACAATGAAAAAATGAGCCGTATTTGGAACGATGCTGCTTGATAAAACAATAACTTGCAGGCACTACTTAAGCCGTTAGTTTTGTGCAGTACAAATGAGTGATCATAAAGAAAAATTGATTTATCGCCCAAAAATGGAAAATAACGATGAAATATTCTTGTGCGATTTTCTTCAAGATCACAGATCTGAAGAAATAATCACGAAGATACTAATGTTATACAAAAAAATTGTACTGGAAATCATAATAAACGTTCAATATATCAAATTTTTCGATTTCAATGTGAGATTGTGTCAAAGTTATTTTCCGAAATTTTTTTGATCATGGTCTACAGGTTTTACTGCCTGACGTTTCGTCTACTACTGCGGTANAAAAATGTTTTTTGTATGATACAAAAAAAATTATTGACTATAGATGAAAATACTTTCAAAATACGCTTATTAAAATTGCCTTTCCGTTAAAAACAAAATCTAAACTATGGAAATTTTCAATCAGGCAAAGAATCGTTGGAGTTTCTTGGTTATCACTCCACATGTTACAACAAAGTTACAAAAAAGTACAAAAACTTTGAAATCATTTAAATATTATTGAAGAACAGTACTAGTACTAGTACAGTACTACCTTATAATAAAAATTACTTTATCATTGCAATATATTTTACTTTTGCTGCATTTATTATTTTTTTCAAAACATTTGTTTCATTCTTCAACATCTCATAATCGTAAACTAAAAACTCAACACTTAGTCTTTCACTCTTTAGGGCATTTATTCAATCTCAAATAATAGATTTTCACAAAATTTTATGATTTAGCTTCAAAATTGAAGAAAATGGAAATAATTTTTTTCGTTAATATATTGATTTATCTATTTTTGATTATTGCATATATGTAAGTATATATAATATGAAATAATACAAAAATTATGATCGAAATGAGAGTTATAATGGAGTTCAAAATTACTGGACTTGGATACATTCAACTGTCAGTTAGCGTGGTGCAGCTGCTATGTTGTGTCCTGTTCTGTCACAGGGACCTCGGACGCTGTATAGCTCCAAATAGCTCAATTTAAAATGCTCAAATAGCTGCAATTCTGAAACTTCATAGCTTAGCAATAATATGTCATGTACGATTTTTTGCAGGCAAACCTATACGATTGGTTTTGCAAATAAAATATCCCACTTATTCATCAATTTCGATTGGTTAACAGATCAGTGTATCTACTACCTATAACTGTTCATATATTAGTCATATTATGTGTGTTGAAAACTGTCAGTTGAGATGATATTCAATCGGTTATGAAAACAGTGACGGTGATGAAAAAAAAATTGATTGAAATTAAATCAATTAAAAATAGCTATGTAAACTTTTCAATGGACAAGTTATCATAGGCATATTTGTTAATAAATTATATTCGATAAAAATATGTCTCTGATGAGTGCAGGTCCATCTCCCACGGTCTCTTCTACTATATGTTGATAACTTATTGCACAATGATGAGGTTTGCAGTTTGACAATTCAAAAAGAAAGGCCGCGAAGTGAAAGGACTATTTTGTCAAAATGAAACGATTTGATATTATGCAGAAAATTTGAGACATATTTGGTAGATCCAAATAGATTGACGCTCATAAGTGTCATAGGACATGGTAGATGCTGGTACCACCTGGCATCGCCCGGTGAGATACCATCGCAACGGCTTAGGCAGCGTGAAGTTGCTTTCGGTTTCAAGGGTGAGAATATAAGAAAAAATGCATGATGACGTTCCTAAGAGTCCAAATACTCCGGAGGTAAAAAAGCTCCCAAATCGGGCATCATCCTGCAGACAGTCAGCAGGGTCTTCCTAACATCAGTCCACAGGGAAATAGCATGGTAACTGCAGTTGCTAAGAGGCCCACTAACAACTTCAAAATCGATTTCTGCTTCATCAAAGGACTCTACTCGAATATAAACTCGATGCACCAACATCTGCAATCAAATAGTCCTCATATTCTTGCACTCACAGAAACCAAAGTCAGTGCTTCAACAAACCCCATCAATTTTTTTATCCCGGCTGTTTTTCACTCCCGATTCAGACGTAAAATATCAACGACGAACAAAGTCGCGAAGCTGAGGCTTTTGCAATAAGCAGCGGACTTACTCAGATTATAAATGAGTCAACCAGGATTCCTGACCGTGATGGAGAATGTGCTAGTCTTTTGGATCTATACCTAACAACCAATCCAGAAATTTACACAGTCATTGTGAGGCCTCCATTGGGATCTCCTGACCACAAAGCCACAAACTCATTTCAGTGTTGAGTGAATTACCGATAAATGTTAGGGAACAATCTAAGCCGCGCAAAGTTTGGCATTACAGATTAGCCGAATGGAAGGATCTTCAAGACCATTTTCGAAATTTCTCCTGGCTGGTATTCCCCAGGGATCCATATATATTGCTTTGCTGACGACAGCACACTTGTCTCGTCATTCCATTTGGATTCCAAGACATCGGCTGCGAAGGCACGTCACCGGCAGCAGGAGGTTGCATATCTTAATGAAGATCTAGAAGTAATTTCGAATTAGGGTGAAAGTAACCAGGTTTAATTCAATGCCACAAAAATCCAGGCATCCAAGAAGATAAATGTCTCCAAACTGGATATAATAATGTCAGGTCAGACAATTCCGCTTTCTGCTTCGATAAGTTTGTTGGGGGTTGAAATGGACATCAATATGTCTTGGCACAATCGTGTCACAATCATGTCGCTGAAATTGCAAAGGCTGCTTCTCAAAAGCTTGGAATTATGTTACGAACCAGAAAACTGTACACACCTCAGCAACTTTTTATACTTAATAAAGCTCAGATCAGACCTCCTTTGGAGTATTGTTCTCATGTATGGAGCTCTGCCCCCAAACATACCCTGAAGTTGCTGGATTAAATCCAGAAAAGAGCCATCTGCCTGATTGGACACGCGAACATCAGGTGCAACCTTGATAGCCCGGAACATCGAAGAAAGGTTGGAGATTTGTCTCTCTTTTATAGATACTTTCACGGGAAATGTTCAAGTGATTTGGCACATTTGATTCCACCGAGAGCAATACATATCAGAAATACGTGACAGACTGTGGCTGCTCATCGTTTTGAGGTTCAACTCAGTACACCTCGAACTTCACTGTTTAAGAACTCTTTCATCTGGAGAACTGTGTTTATGTGAATTAAACTTCCTGAGAACGTTTTTTCAAATGAATTTAATCTCCAGCGAGTCAAATCCAATGTGAATCCCTACTTTCGCACAGGCACCGCTCTGAGAGCGCCTTAAGGATTCTCCTGGTGTTTTGTCTTTAAAAAAAAAGACATCGACTCGCTTTGATGTACTCACCAATAACATCGCTTGTTTTTCAAAAAGATAGACTGAAACATAGTAAACAAGTAATAATTTGAGCAAATTCATCGAAAACAATTAAAATAAAATTTCAGTGTTAGAAAGATCAAGAGTATTTAAGTTGATATGTGGTTCTCGCTCAAAACTTTATGTTGTCCAAACGAGTAGAATCCTTTCCCAAAGAATAAATGAACATTGGAGTAGATTCTTGAATGTGAAGACCATTTTCACATTTGCAAACCGCCTTCTGATAGAGGGGCATGAGTTCAACCACGACTATGATGTATTATAGTATCATACATTTGGATAATGCAGGATTGGAACCCAATTTTGTCGAATGCTTAAAAATCAGTGAATTTAAGAATTCGGAAAATTCATTGAATAATCCAGTAGAATTGAATTCTTCTCCCCTGTTGATCTGTTTTCTGATGTGGAAATTGGTGATTAGTTTAATACATGTCAATTCAATGAGTTGAATACATTTATTTCATCATGTTTAAATTTTTAAATAATTTATACCTGAGATCTGGTAAAATCATTAGTCGATAATCAGATAAAAGATCATATGACAAAAATTGATATATTTATTATAGTACCAATTAGGTAGAATTCAGTTAGTATGAACACGTCCGAGAAAGGAATTGTATAGCGAAACATGTATTGCGGTTTTGTTAACTGTTTAGTGAAAATCTCTCAACAAAATGCTGAAAATATGTTGATGGTTTGTTTGTCGTGGACTGACCAACTTTGTAATCGGACAATTTTGTACTGAGGAATGATATGTCAACAAATGCCACCAAACCATTTGCCACCTAACACAATACCAAAAGGCATTTGCTCATTTCGTAAGGAAAATATGTAATTAGCAATTATTTGAAACTTCTGAGTTTGCAACAATTTCATGGCACGCATATGCCACTCTTGTCATATCATGTACTCTTTTCTGAAGAAATACTTATTTTAGAATCCATGTACTTTGCACACAACACAAAAATTTTAGTTATTTTATCGATACATACGGTTGCCTGGGAAACGGACTAAATGGAATATCGGTGATTGACATTCCTATATCAGTTCATGTTCACTTCAAACACAACTTCAAAGACTGTGATTCATCATTAAAATTGGTTCAAAATGCCTCCGGGTACTTCTAAACCCAAATCAATAATACCGAAAACACCTGGGGTAAATGTCGCCATAATAATCATATTATAGACACCATAACTATATTAGAACTAGTGACTAATATTTCATACATTTTTTGCAGAAGAGATTGGTAAAGCGTGATGTTGAAGTTAATGATGATTTAGAAGATTGGAAGAAGGCTAAACAGCTCTTGAAACCGAAGGATCAATTGGAACTGACTGATGTCGTGAGTAACAAATATCTAATTATATCTTAATCATAATTATCTCACGGCATTTTTTGTGGGAATGCAGAGTGATTATTTCGAAAGAAAATACTTTTGATGTGAAAAATGACAAAACCCTCATTTGAAAAAATAGTGTAATTTGATCATGACGAGAGTAGTGCTGGTTTTTAACTCCTTTTTTATTCATTTTCATGCACGAAATAACTATCCGACATCAATCATTAATAAATTCAATACATCGAAATTGTTATTTTCAACTATTCTTTTTTACTTGTTTCAGGGATTTCAAATCATTTTATATAGTAGACAATGGAAGTCCGAACTAGTGAAATTCATCACGAAACATTGTCAATCACCTTCAAACATACAAAAATGATATTGCTTATCAATAATTTCATCATTGTCTCTTCCCTTAGATATTGTAAAACTTCGATAACTCATATTACTTTTATAATAAGAAATAACTATAATTTGACTTCCATATCTTTTAGTGATATATAGTCATGACCAGAAGATTTTCTTGATTCAGAAAATACAATTATTTCAATTCCTTTCTATTGGAGAAAGACAGAGAAGTCTTTATAATTGCCAATAGTATAATAAATCACATCAGAACTGATTAACAATGATTTAATAGTTTCTCTCTAGCTTGAACTATTCAAGTAAAATTCGATCAAGGGATTTATTGGGAAACCTGTTCATTAAACCAATATTTTTTTTATCTAATCAGTTTTCAAAAATGTTCATAAGGTTTTCAGGTAGGATGATTATTCCTGAAGAAAATGTGTTATTTTCAGTATTTGGATCTTCTTTGAAGTGAATCCCTATAGATCCACTGTTCTGATGACCGCGTGATAGTCTTAAATTTCCTTTTCGTGAACTACATACAAAAACACTATTGTATGTACAAAATACCATGATTCAAAACACATTTTCATGTTACCTATTTGGATGAATTTTTTGTTGACTTAGAAAAATGTCTCTGAAATACAGCTTAGAAATATCTCTGCAATGCACTTCAGTACATATTGTAAATATTCGGGGTGCGCCCCCTTTGGTACCCCTCTATATACGCCACTACCAAGAATCTTGTGAGAAACACGTTACTTTATGCCACCTGATTATAACTTATACCTGATTGATAACTTAGTCACCATAAATTGTACTGGATAATACATGAGTGGTTTTCCGGTTTTCCCGAGTTTCACTAAAGATATCAGGTTACAAAGTTGCTCCAACTTTCAGTCTTTACTGTACATTGCAAACCAACTTCTAGCAAACGTTACCTGCTTCGTTACATACGTTTGCTCACTTTACCATTGACATAAGACAGATTCATCAACAAGAATTGGTCCCACAATGGTATAGAGTATTGTCAACTCTTTGGATAGCAATGTGAATTGCTTTGTGACGACATGTTTTTCCTAATCAGTCATCAAGAATAAGATCAATTTTATATCATCCGTTGGATTCTTTGACCACAAGAAGTGTTTTCGACTATTACTTTAATTTTGTCTCATTTTGCTTCAAGATACTTGACCTTTGTTTGAACATTCATGTTTTCAAATTCAGTGATGCTGATACTTCTTTCTAAGAAAGCAAATGAGTATTTCAGAATTAAGACTTTCACATCCTGAGTCATAATTGAAAAGAACAAAATTCGATATAGTGTAGGCCAAGGTCGAATGGAACTGCAGTACCAAACATTTTTCTGCTACAGTGACAGACATCATCGGTAGTGGTATGTGCGTTGACTGCAACGCACATACCAGTTGTTGCTGATACTTTCAGTTGTTGCTGATACTTTCAGTTATAACCTCCATCTTCGCAGTCAACGCTGACACAGACGATTGTTGATACTAACAATCGAAACGTCGTAACGTAACTTGGTTTGGAATTTTTTTATTTTTCATCTTTTTATTTTTCATTTTTTGTTAATAATATTTTTTTAATTTTTTTATTTTCAGCTTGTATTAATATTTCGATTTTTTTGGTTGTTGCTTGTTTGTTATTTCTTTGTAATTTCGGTTTTTGGTTTAATAAAATTTTTATTTTTTGGTTAATCTTTTCAATTTTTTTACAGATTCTTTCAGAGATTTCAAATCAATTTATATCATATTAGACAATGGAAGTCCGAACTGATGAAATACACCACGAAACATCATCAGCCACCTTCAAACAGACGAAACGTTTGTTACTCCAGGTTCCATACGATCATGGCCCTTCAGTTCTGATTCTATCCTCTTTAAATATTCAGGTGATATTCTCACTCAATCTTCATTTCATCAATAGTGTTACAAAAACGGTTTTTCATGTATAAGAAAAAAAAAATAGTCTGCAGAATGTTACCATTGAAAATCGTTTATTCTTCATGAATTACGGTGTAGTAGGAAGTACTCTTGAAAATAAATTACTGGGTTGAGAGTGAGGATGGGGCATGTTATGAAAAATTATTTCTGTTGGGGAACTCGTCATTTTCATCAATTTTTATATAATCAGTCTAATATAATATATTTATCACAGGAACTCAAAGAAATAATAACAAGACTACTATCGACCACCAACCCTCAAACTCCCGAAGGACTGGTAGAATTCAATTATGCACAAGGCGAATTTGTATCATTACCTCCGCAAGGTAATTTGGTGGTGGTATATGAATCTCAAGGAACTATTCTTCACAAAGACTCGGAAGAAGCGCACCAGCAAATGATAGAACAGGGCATCGACCGTGAGTATATTGGTTAATGGTGAAAAGACAACTATATAGTTATACTAAACTATACTGATATGATCTATTTTTGTTTAATGAGTTCATGAAACTAATCACATATACATACAACAAAAGTTAGAATTCATACTTCTTTGGCACCACTCGAGAAATAACTATCATTCATTCAATTGATTTTTTTTTGTGATCACCTGAAAAATTACAAACTCTTTGATTGAAATGGGTACCTAAATACATACAAGATTCCCAAGTTTTCACAGACTTTTTCAGCACTACTTTTTTAAAAAATCCTTACTGAAAAGAGAATATCTCGAAGAAGTCAGTAGAAACGTTGTTACTACTATAGAAAACATGGGTATTTGCGGAAGAATCATTCAAACAATCAATTTGTCTAAGTTTCGAAAAAATAAGTGCACAAAATTCAAAGGATATTCATGGATCAAGTTTCATATTTCGATAAGAAAAAATGAGCATGGCATACCTACTGTCCTTCCACGAAAACTAACTGTTATTGTCAGATTTTTACTGAACACTGGACAGGTGTGTTCATACAATATGAACACATATGAGAAAGCTATTGAACAGTTAAACACGTGTTGCGGTTTTGTAAACTGTTCAGTGAAAATCTGACAGTGTGTTTTGAATACGTCATGGATTTTCATCAAGTATCGGTAATTACATCACAAAACTTTCTATATTTTCTAAGGCATCCTCTAAATGCTTAAATGGTATCCAGTAAGTAGCCTTGCAATAATTATTCTGTGACGATGTGAAACTTTCAATATTGAGTCTATATTTCGACTAAATCTCGTATTCATTTTTCAACAGTGAATTTACTCGTTTTCTATCGCGACTTTACCAGATCTTCGTTATGACCTATGGCGAAGGAACTGTGAATTACAAAGCGACAATGTATATATAAACCCGCACCTTCACCAAAGATGAGTCTTCGGATTCCAACGTAGAAGAAAAACGATGATAGAAATTGTTGAGTAATAGAGAAGCTTCGTGAGCATTCATTATTCTCTACATATTCATTCGGAATAGGCAATACTCGCAAAAAAACAGTTTCTAAATAATCAAATCTCGATTTCTTTCCTGATTGCATTGAAATGAAAACTGAATCACTAATAACTCAAAAACTTATATTTGTAACTGACTGTACAGTAAACATTCAATTGAAAATTCATACTCTCCAATATCAATGCTTTCTTTGCATTGAAAGGTGGATTAGTCAGCTTTACTCTACCAATTCGTTTATAATTTTCTGTTAACTGAATATGCAATTTTCAATTGCAATTTTCAATTGCATATTCATTCTGCGTATGATTCAGCTTGTAATATTGGATTATTCAATACAGTGTGGACGCAAATAGTCCCCTCTTCCTCCTAACTTTTCAACGGTGCAAGATATCAGTTTCGGACAAATGTTTAGTGATAAGGAAACAATTTTAGTACTTTTTGATAAAAAGCCAAAAGTGTGACATCACTTGCCCCCAAAATGGCGCTATCAACTTTTTTTCAATGGAAAGGGGCAGCTAGTGATATTTCCTATGAAATGTATTTCAATTTTCTATACAATTTCATTTTTTTGAATTTCGATACCCGGTTGCGAAGTTACTGCGAAATTATTTCCAACATCTTGGAATGTTTCTGAGGTGATGCTAGCAAAAGTTTTGGTAATTATGTCTCTTAATTCCCGTATTGTCATAGGTTGCGTGACATCAACTTTAGATTCGATACAGTCCCAAAGAAATCGAGAGGAGTCAAATCCGGTGAACGAGTAGGCAAGTCCAACCGACCGCTTCAACCAATCCATATACCTGGGTGAATCCAATGCAACCGATCTCTTACACGCCTAAAAAATATGGGGTGCACCATCTATACTTTGGTTCAATTTCATTTTAAATACGATTCATTTCCGTGAACAATTTCTTTCTCTCGCACATCACAAACTTCGTGTACCTAACATGTGATAACTTGATTTCGAGCTTTTTCAATCCATTTTCGCTTGGAAAGTTACGAATTATAATTTTTTCCAGTCTTCAATTTATACACCAATAACTCCACAACTATTTATCTAAATTCCAAACAATGAAAGATGTTGTACAGACAACCAAAATAGGTACTTTTCGATCAGACCATCCAAGGACCTCCTTTCACTTTAAAAAAAAATTGATAGCGCCTCTATGAGGTGAGAGATGTCACATCATTGGCTTTTTTTATGAAGAGGTTCTGAAAATAATTTTTTTTCATACAAATTTTGCCCGACTTCGATATATTGTTCCATTCCAATTTCATGAACCTACACCTATACCTATACACCATTTGATCTCCACAAACTATGGATCTTCATCAAGCAACGGCTGAATCAATAAAAAAAAAAGTTCCATTCTAGTGATAGGAGAGAGCGGACTATTCCCGTCCACAGAGTACTGAATAGGAAATGTATTCTCTAATAAAAAATCTTCTGTTTTCAATTTATTTATTCAGTGGTATTCATTGGTAATTGACACGTATGCTACAATTGATGAACTTAATTCCTATATTAATAAATTTAGTTTAGAAAACTAAGAAACACGCTTTTAAAGAACATCGAACGGAAAAGTTAAAATTATTTTTTTAATGAGCTTAAAACAATAACAAACGACAAATACTAGTATTATTGTGAAAAAAGTGACGGGCGCTTGTTATACAAAATATATGGCACAAAGCGCCCACGCTTTTTCACAATAGTATTAGTATTTTTCGTTCGTTATTGTTTTAAGCTTATTTAAAAAAATAATTTTAACTTTTCAGTTCGATGTTCTTGAAAAGCGTGTTTTTTTGGGTTTTCAAACTATATTTATTTTTCATTTTTTAGTTTCATATGCTATGAAAGCCTGTTTTTAGTCTTTTTAAACTCAATTTATTTTATCAAAACTTTGGGATCAATCAGCCGTATATTGTTTTGAAAAATGATTATTGATATTTTCCGAATCCGGAGACGGAGCCTGGAAATCAGCCATCAAGCCCAAGTCGCGCAAAAGAGGGTTTCAAATAAGGCAGCAGGCGCCCGTGTTAATAAAAAACATTATTTCTTCAAATAAAGAAATACATGTAAAGTGAGTTCGAATTATATCAAGGAGGTTACGTACAGCGCCATCTGCCCGCAAATAGATCTAGCAATAATATCGATAATTCTGTCAAATACAGATCCCGAGCTTGAGAGTTATAAACATACATACATACAGGTGAAGCTAATATAAACCGTGTAAAAAGGGAAATTTTTCTTTAAGATATATCGATTTACACGAAAATCAGTGTAAATCGATATATCTTATCAGAAAATTTGTATGTTTGTGAAGAAGTTTTATGATGTATTCAACTTTTTTTTTCGAAAATTCTCACTTTCTTTAAATAATGAAAGAGTCGAAGTGTTTTATTTTATTTTTCAGCTGCAACATTCCAATCAGAACTTTCCATAGAGAACTTGGAAGAAGATCATGGACACTCAGAAGCGGTATCCGAAGAAACAAAGGAGGCACAAGATGATGAACAGAAAGAAGAAGAGCCGAAGGAAGAAGACGAAGAAGCTGAAAAGGCAGATGAGAAGCATGAAGATGAAGAAGAAGGCGAGGGCGAAGGAGAAGCTGAGGTCAAAACAGAAAGCGCCAAGCCCCCAGCCAAAGGTGGAAAACCCAGAAAGCTAACAAATCAGTTTAATTTTTGTGAGAGAGCTGCTCTTACGTATAACAATCCTACAAGGGTGAGATGAGTTATTTTCGAATTGAATGGTCTAACAAAAACTCGATGAAACACACTAAGATACGGTGTGTCAAATCGAGCTTTGTGTGTGTTACGTGTGCTGTTACGTGTTCAGAAATTTGTTGACCTTGCTCTACTCACTTCTTACTATAATGGTAAAATGGTATTCGTTATGTGTTCAGAAATAGATTAGTCCATAAACCCTCTACTACCTACTATTTAAACGTTGTTGAGTTTTACCTGCGTTCTTCTTCTTCTTAGTTGACCTCATCTCCCCGTTAAGGTATTGAATATGAAATCTGAAGTTTTCACGGATAGGAATATGCTGAACTGGTTTTTCCGGGTATTTGATCCGTGTATGTGATATTATCTCTAATTTCACCGACGTTTCGACAAAATCTCATTTGTCATTATCAAGGTGTGCTGTTACGTGTTCAGAAATTTGTTGACCTTGCTCAACTCACTTCTTACTATAATGGTAAAATGGTATTCGTTATGTGTTCAGAAATAGATTAGTCCATAAACCCTCTACTACCTACTATTTAAACGTTGTTGAGTTTTACCTGCGTTCATGCAAATGAACCGAGCCACAGGCAGGAGCCAGCCACACATTAAATCTTGTGTTTACAAGCTATAGCTACCTCAATATTGATCTCATGATGGGATTTCCAGGTTTGTCTTGAATATCTGGCAAAACTTTTGATGAACCAGGCCCTATGTTAACAAAGTATTCGTTGAAATGTTCACATATTTTTTTCAGTACCATTTTTTTTTCTTGTGTATTGTTATATAGAAAAGTATTTATACATGATCTAAAATAGATAGGGAGCTGTTTACCTTCCGTGTTGGATGCTTTCTGTTACACAGTTAAAAATTATTTCTCGAGTAAATATCGTCCAGTAATTTGATTGATGAGATTTCAACATCATACTCACATTGTAGTAACCAATTAGCGCTAAGTTGATTTTTGACTTTGAAAGTTTTTCTTCAGTTGAAAAAAAAATAATGGTGGTCTATATACTCGTATGACAGATAGTAATAAGTGACAGTATTTCAGTTTGATAATCAAGTACGATAAATCAAATTCAACTGTGTTTTATTTGAGTTCCAAAACCGCAGCTTCGCTAAAATCTGTTAGCATACTAAAACACCGTCTCGACCGACGCACGTTCAGCTAACCAAGTTGACATTATCAGGAAATGATTAGAAGTTTCTATTGTATATGTTTGTCTTCTTCTAGGAATTTCTTGAATAAGTCTCGAAATCGGTTACCACCAAGTTAAATCTCAATGTTTGCGTTGCTAAGGTAACAAAATTCATGTGATTTTCAGGATTAGATATATTATTTTCTTACACGATCCTCACTCACTGATTTATTCCATTCAAGGGTCAGGAAACTCAAACCATTCCTCCTCCCATGGCCACCTTTTCAGCGAATGTTCTCCAGTGGATCATCTACGACGGATACCAACAAGACTACGAAGCGCAGCTACTGGAAAAAGAACTGGAAAGAGAAAGGAAAGAAAAAGACAAAATGTCTGTAGGCAGACCAGTACCGATTAAAAAGGTTTCTGGGCGAACGCAGTTGAGTGAAGCTGTGCAAGGGAGAGTTTCAGAATGTTGGAAAGTTTTGGAGAGGATGATCAATCAGAATACTTACGACGATATTGCCAAAGGTAAATAATTTCATAAATTAGCATCTTTCTTTTTAACCTTGAAGCATTTGACTGAGTTAGTGTCTAATGGTTTTATGTGACCTAACTTCATTCAAATATTATTTAATAGTATTTTGTGTAAAAAGTGCGTGAAATCGACTTTTTTACACAAGCGTGGAATTTGCGACACGAGCCCTCAGGCGAGTGTCGCAAACAACGCGAGTGTAAAAAAGTCTTCACGCACATGTAAGTGCTGAAGCTAGAAG